CGCGCTGCCCCCCCCCCAAATAGGTCTTGTTGTGGTTTACGACGCTTCAACCTAAAGACTGCAGGCCCTTCCAACACAGGGATCGCGCAGCCACATGACTTCCATCTTCTTCGGCTAAACAACTTTAGGCTGCCGTGGCCGAGTGAGCAAATCTTCGGCTTTGTGTTGGGCCTATAATAATGTCCGGGTCTACACACAATTGAATTAGCCGCTGTCAGATAATGACACTGACGTGTAATCCTTAGGGTGACGTTTTCGTCAAGTGGTGGCTAGATTTGAGTTTTTTTTGTTTTATTGGGTTACTACAATCATGAATTTGCAAAACGATGTAGCAAACATTCCGTTACATTGGTCACTGGTGGTTCGAAACCAGCCCCTTCGTCTGGAATGTTCCTGTCTAGGTTTGGGCAACCGAACAGCATCTCAGCTCTCTATCCACCTCCGGTTCGCATGGAAGCTATGTACTGAAGGGTCGTTAAAGCTGAGCGATTAAACCAAGTGGAATTTTAGGGATTGGGGATACACACTGGAAGGGATAGCTCCTTTGATGCTAGAAATGGTGGTGAGTTCGATAACTTCTTTTTTCTTTTCAGACTGGCGACATCATCATGCTCGAGGAGGTCGTGGACGAGGCCTGGTATCGAGGTCGTTCAATAGTGACCGGCCAAGTTGGCATATTCCCCATGAACCACGTCCAGGTTCGGATCCCCATTGAGACGGGTCTGTACACCACATCGCAACCGAGACCAGCGATTGTATTGGCCCATCAGCTACCGAAAGGATCCCCGCTCATGACGAATGGCTTCAGTCCACAGGCAAATCAGATGGCTTCTGCTCAGGTAGGAGAGACGAAGAACAGCGAAGCGAAGGAATAGGTTGTACATGTTTTTTCTTACTAGACTGTATTGGAATTCTTGTTTTTAATGGATCGGTAGTGTGACATTTCTCATCTGGATGATAGCTCTCTAATACAGTGTCCAGTGTCACAAAGATGCTGGACCTAACTATGATGTGATGGTTTGTGCATCTCCGTGACTCAATGAGCTATGCTGAGGGTGTCTACAGTCTTCTCCTACCAAGTTGGTCACAAGTTGGGGATCCGACCAGCACGGTTTCCTGGATCTGCTGTTTGGTTTCCCGCCAAACATCACCGCCCTGCGCTTTTGGGCCTTGCCTGAAAACCCTGAGTGTCATTCTGTCTGGGTTTGAACACCCTGGCAGTATCACAGCCCGCGTACAAACTACGTTTACCTACGGCCAACAGCAAACTCATGCCACATCGGCCGTCGCGTGGTGCCATCAGCCGGGTCGCCTTACTCGCTGTATACAGCAGGCCGACAACAGAAAACATACTACTGATGACACTTACCTCCTCTCTCTTTCACACAGTTTTTCTCCCCCTTCTCATAATCCCATTAATAACTATTTATTCGTGAGCACTTAGGACTGATGATTCCGTTCATCCCGCATCGGTCTCACAGGCAACATATGTGGGTTGGCCACCGACGCCAGCCTCGAACCCCGGTTCACCTGTTTGTCCTTTGAATCAAGCAGGACAGCAAGTGACTCTCACTGGACATGTGCTGTGTAGCAGAAACAAGAATTCAAGGTGCAAGCACAGTGGTTAAGTTAACTGCCCAATCGCTGTACACGCTTACGGCTGCGCACCTCATGCAATTCAGAGTCTGCTGCGGCAAGACGGATACGAGTTATCGTCGTCCTCGGACAGAAGGATGCTTGTTTAGATGGATACTCGTTGATATTTATCTCTGAGTGGTTCGTCTAGCAACGTACATGAAAGAGTCCCACAAGCGGGAAGTTGATCATTATCTGTTTACCGTGTCGGCTTACGCACCAACTGACCGTAGCTCTAACACTATGTTGTGTCTTGCTGAACGGTAGTGTAACTCTGTATCGGTCTCGTGGCTTCCTGCTCCACCCACTATGGTATAGCAAAAGGCTCGGTAGCTCCAGACAGCCCTTTATGGAGGCAAAGGAAAATTAATACAACTGTACTTATAGGGTAATCACAGGGTGTTCCACAAGGTTGTGCTGGAATCTCCGTGAGGGGGCGAGAAGCGTCGAGTCAAATCAAAGATTCCCGGATTGCCTGGCATCCCGACCAATCAGGACATGTCTTCGTTTGGTCCGTGTCCTGCACGTCGCACATCCGTCCAAATGATATGATGCTCGATTATTAGAGACGGCTGGCCTCCGGACACACCTTGAATGTCCTAGTACGGCGGGCTAAAAGCTCCGATATTGTTGTGGTTGATGGACGTCTGAAAGTACATGTGGAGAGACTTAGAGGATCTGAGACTCACTCGGGTGGTCGACTTAGATTTGACTTACCACGTACGGAGACAGCGGCGAACGACTTCTTCTGTATGTGCCAACTGCAGATGGGAAAAACGAAATCGTCTGGTTAGTTGGTGTCCTCCAACAGTGTGCCAACTGAGGACCCCAACTGATGACATCACCATCGATTGCGGATGTCGTGGATCAATAACTGACCGCCTCTCGTCTGAGCATACAATCTTCCGAAGTCGCCTTTTGCTTCGCTTTTGAGGGACCCCTAAGGGACAGGCAGTTCGCTTGACAGGTCCGGAAGTCAAGCCAATTTCTCAGGACCGTCTTCTGGACTCTTCCAATGGCTTCACCGTCGGATGTCAAAATATGCTGGGACGAGACTACCGCATTCTGACACACTGCCTGAGGTTTCGCCCGGCGCACAGCAGTCCAAGTTCCACACAAGCGCTGGACATCAGAGAGCATAGGGGCATAACTCTCGGAGGAATGTTCCCGCCCGTCCCAAAAACAATTCAGCTCGGCGAATTATAAGTTGTCAGGGGAAACTTAGCGTACACGTCTATCTTGAAGCCCAGAGAACACGGAACTCTAATGAAGTGGAACAGATGACGAATACTTGGAATGCTTGAAGATTATTCCGCTTGATCCGTGTGACACGTTCACACGGAGTTCTCGTTATCCCAAGTCTGCGTACACACATCTTGATGCAGCGGACAGTGCGTATGGAAAAGCTACTGTCTATGCAGTGTCGAGTGCTGCACAACCTGGTTAATGATCCTGCATTTGGCGTGAACGTCCGGGATCTCAGCCTTTTAATCTGCTTTCAAGAAGGAACCGATAGCTGCTTGAGGCGACAGAGTGGAGGACAGCCTTAAGGTGATCCGGCATTTGGCGTGAACTTCTGGGATCTCAGCTTTTTAATCCGTGTTCAAGAGGGAACCGATAGCTGGTTGAGGCGACAGAGTGGAGGACAGCCTTAATGGTCCTGTGAATCGGTCGTCTCAGATCTTCAAATCGACGGTTTATGATCCTAGAAGGTGCTTCCTCAGAGTCGCGGTATCCAGTTCTGGTGCAGCCTGCTGAGAACGAGAGTTAGATACACCCTGTCTGACCTTGGCGAACAGATAATCTTCACTTGTGAAAACTGTGGTCAACCGGAGCGTTTGGTGTGTGTCCTGTAGTTCCGTTGGATCGAGAGTGATGCTTGATGAGTTCATAACAATCGGGCTGGGAGATAACTCGAAAGAGGTCTTTATTCATTGTCTGGAATACACCGCCTTTGAGGAGTTGAGATACCTACCTCAACATCTTATCTCAATCCCGACTAGATCAGTAATGGTAGTAGGCACCAACATACTCCTGAGTGCGCGCAGATTGCCCGTGTGGAATGAGAAGAAAACGGATCACGGCGTTGACAAATGCTCCATTGCTATTCTTTCATCCTCGTCTGTCATCGATTGCTTCTTGGAGACTGGAAACTTTAGGAGATTGAAATCCCATAGTTTCAAGCAGTGACAAAACTCAGAGAGTGAACAGTGTTCAATTGGGAGAGAGGTCTTGGAAGTGGACTGCTTTCAGACTGTAGCGCTAGTTATCATAGACATAATGTGACCTCTGGTTGTTTGCGAAATCCACGGTATTAGGCCCAACAGATATCTACAGTTTTCTACAGTTCTCTTCCAGTTCGTGTACTGAACTGGTTTTCACTCTTATGCATGTGCCGGGATTCGAACTCTGGACAGCAGGCATGCGAGGTTAGTAGGCCACTCAACAGTAAAAATGTCAGGTTAGAAACCAATTTCTGACTTACAGCCGTACCCGGCAGTCCATGGGCTACTTGTCTTGTTTTTGGTTACTTTATCTCTTTGCACAATGTCCTGTTAAAAGGATGGAATTTATTTCCTCCTCAGTTTCTCATGATTCCAGAAAGATTAACTTACTTCAAATTATTTTATTTCTCAGGGTTCTGCATCCTCTGTGACCTCAAATGAAGCCGCACTTCCTCGACGGCCATCAAGGATCCGGATATCCAGCCTCAGTGCCAAATATGATGCAACTGTAAGTATTCTAGGCAACCCATATTTTATTGACATCTTCAGTCGCTACCTCTGTAACACTTGGTGCCCAAAACATGGTCAAAACTCTACATGTTTTCAGCATCCTAGTAGAATTTGAAGTATACTCTTCCTACTAGGATGCCCATAGAAAAAAGCACTATCCATTTGGGGATCACCTACCAGGAAGTCAAAGGTGGTAGTTGGTGCTACCTCCTAGCTTCATGCAGACAATAAACCAGAGATATTGTAACTGTAAGCCCTCGGAATAGTTGTTTTATCAATAAAAAAACTTGATTTTATCAGCCTCAGCAGTGTATTTCCTTCACATGAACGAAGACATCGGTCATCTGGATCGTCTGCAGAAGTGCAATCGAGCACGCAGGTAGTAAGACGTTCGGTTTAATGAAGACTGACGAAAGAAATCAGCTTCCCTTAAAAAGGGCAGGAAAATTTGGCTGAAAGTGTTCCATCACTCCTCGTGGTGGCATTATTAGTGAGTTGTGTTCACACTTCCACGCACTTCCCCCAGTTGAAGTTTCATTTTCATATCAGATACCTTTGCATTCAGCCAGAATGGCATATTCGATTATTAGCCATATAGCTAGATAAGCTAGATTTTGAGAGGGTATAGGACGAAATACCTGATTGATTTGAGTTGAATTTGGACCGAGGTCCACGTTGTGCTCCTTGGGACAGATTTTTTCACGAATGCCCATAGCAAAAAGCACTATTCATTTGGGGATCAGCTACCAGGAAGTCATAGGTGGTAGTTGTTGTTACCTCCTAGCTTCATGCAGACAATAAACCAGAGATATTGTAACTGTAAGCCCTCGGAATAGTTGTTTTATCAATAAAAAAACTTGATTTTATCAGCCTCAGCAGTGTATTTCCTTCACATGAACGAAGACATCGGTCATCTGGATCGTCTGCAGAAGTGCAATCGAGCACGCAGGTAGTAAGACGTTCGGTTTAATGAAGACTGACGAAAGAAATCAGCTTCCCTTAAAAAGGGCAGGAAAATTTGGCTGAAAGTGTTCCATCACTCCTCGTGGTGGCATTATTAGTGAGTTGTGTTCACACTTCCACGCACTTCCCCCAGTTGAAGTTTCATTTTCATATCAGATACCTTTGCATTCAGCCAGAATGGCATATTCGATTATTAGCCATATAGCTAGATAAGCTAGATTTTGAGAGGGTATAGGACGAAATACCTGATTGATTTGAGTTGAATTTTGACCGAGGTCCGCGTTGTGTTCCTTGGGACAGATTTTTTCACGATTGTACTGAAATCTTTCCAATCTCAGCAGTTTGCACTGAGGATTTTGAATAAATTGTTCAATGGGCGGCAATCCGTACATTGCATTTGCACGGGGAAATTCAGGTGTCCTCGTCTCAAAAAGGCAGAATACATTAGAAGATACAGTTCCGTGTTTCACCTGAACTGGAAAATGATGGCTTCATTTATCGCTTCATTTGCTGTGTAATATCAACCACTACACTGACGTATGCGCCAATAAAATATAATAACCTAACTACTAACTAGCATTTTTAACCCCATTACAGCAGACTGGCCCGTCCAAACAATCGAGCGCCAGCGGAACTGCAGCAGTGAGCGATGAAGATGCTGCGACAGGGAGCGACCCATACAGAATTGCTCGCTGTACATCGCCCCCAATAGTATCATCTTTGAAGCCCCTATCTCGCGAGACTGTTTCTCAGCTTGCCGAGAAACTGGAACACCGTGGGATTGCTGTAACGCGTGTTGGGCCCTTACCAGCAGGAGCAAAACCATTGTTTCCTTCTGTTATGCGGAAACCGCACGTATCTTCCGCCCCCAATGAACGCCAGAAAACACTTTCGGACCACATCGGACCGGAAGATTCCAGAAAGCCAAACCTCATACCCACCCCAAAAATGGTGGAAGTAAGTCAGAGGCCTATTGAGTTGTTTTTGTTCCAGTCAGCTGTCCACGTGGTCAGGCAATTTTACTACTCATGGAGACCTCCGTTCGTTTTCAAACGGATAGTGTGCCATTGCCCACAGATTGGTGGACGCAGTTCAATTTCATGTATATCTTGCTCGTTTGACTTGCGTAGCTTCCAGCATTCTTATGGGCATTAAATGTGAAGGAAAGCAAATCAGGAGGTCAACTAGAGGTCATGGAGTACGCTGGTGTAGTCCAAACTCGATTTTAATGTATCCTCCCTATATGTTGGACTTACTCAAATTGCTCACCCGTATTTCTGAGCTATACTATCCAACCTCTACTTTGGAAGGTGATGAATTTTAATCTCTCACCATTTTCCCTTGAGCTTCTTGAGTTGCACACTTCCGATCACGGTCAGTAAGGACGGCAAGCCTTTCAGCCATTCGGAATATGCTGCCTCAGATTATTCCTTTTTAGAGTTCTCACTTAATGAGCTGAGTCTCATCGTTCGATGCAGAGGCACCGTTAAGATCGATCGAAAGTGGGGAATGTCTGCTGAAGTCAAACTGTAGTCAAACTGTGCGTTGTCTCAACTTACTGCTATGTTTCGTGAGACGCGCAGTCCTGAATTCTCAATGAGGATGCTTCGCGGCTTTTTAGCAAATGTTGGCCGCATTTAGAGAGCGGAAAGTAAATTGAAAATTACCAGATCTCCTTAGACTACCGTTACTCTATCAGTAGTTTGAACGAATAATAAATTTACAAGGAGAGTGAAACTTCCGACTGAGTTGTCACTCGATGAGTCAATCGGTCAGCACGTGACCACTTGACGTGGCTTCCACGACTGAAGGATGAATGGCGCTGAATATGAATGAATCACATTACCGATTAGCCACTTGTGAACGAACAATTGTGTTCAAACTACTAGCCGGGAGGTTGTGCGTCCGAAGCTTACTACTGGGGTTTTGTGTGATGTGCACTGTTGATAAATCACAATAAGCGTGGAATATTTGCAGAGTGCCTGGCTTTTTAGCTGAGACTGGTTTGACTTAGAGGATGAAATCTCAGTGAACAAGCGATGCCACTTAGGCCCTGCGCATTGCTGTCTCCGTTTCTCTGTTCATTCGGACACGAATATTGATTGGTGTTTTATACGACGGGTACTTGACTGCTAGCTTGCGTATCACTCATCGCCACTGTCTCTGTGTACGTCTGTTCACCACCGTTACGGTTGTGATTGTGTGCCCTTGGGGGGGGGGGGAATCTGGTTTCATCCGGCGTCGGAAATGTTCGCCGGTGGGGACCACAAACCATGTGACCCAGGTCCCTCCACTCAGTATGTAATTTGGGTCGTTCTGACTAGGAGGTGTCCAATATCGTCCCACTCTGCAGGTGATTCCGTATTAGCCGGTACCCGTTTGTGTCTGACTGCAGTGCGGTTCGTGCACACTTGGAACTGTGACATTTTGTGGCGCGGTTCGTCCCTAAAGAGATTACGCACCAACCTTAGCTATGGAGATGTTTCCTGGAATTGTGACGACACCTTTGCTAATCATCATCCACAAGCTCGGTGATCAGATCAATTACCACTTGGTCGTCAGCCAGTGAGCCCAGTTAAGCTGTTAGTATTTAGATATTTTTCATAAAGGGCGCTTTTTGCGCCACACACACACCGCTGATATTGGAACCACTTCTAAATCATTCACAAAGATCACTACGCAGTTTGGAGCATCTTAGTTGAATATTTCCGTAACTTCGTGTTAAAAATGACTGTCAGACCGAAGTACAGCTAATTGCTCAAAATCAGGACAGGAACTGCTGCTCCAAAAGTCATTATACGGAGAGATCGTCATGATAACAGAACTGGCGTCTAACTGGGATGCGTCCCACCGTAGTCAGGATTCTCCGGCCAACTAATCTTCATTGAGCTCTGAAACATCAGTTCTGGCCCAAACAGCTCGTCTATATGATAGCTAGCCTCTTATTTGTATGGAAACTGATCAATATCGAGAGTAAATAGGACACTGTACTTTTTTCGTTCATTTTAGACGCTCCTAGTCAAAATTTTTGGTGAACAAAGCAAACCCTCCGGAAAAGAGGCACCACTAACTCCACTTGAATCAACTGCTGGCAGGATAATGTCTGATACGAAAATGCCAACTAGCCCGATTGAGAGCAGCTTGCAGCACAACCATTCGGCACCCGACTCCGTTCGAATTGAAAAAGTTACGGCATTCCCGACCGAACAGTTGACTCGAGAGAAACTGAAATCGAACTTGGTGGGGCCAAGAACCGTGTCGGTCAAACGAACCAGATCGTTTCCAGTCAACCCGAATAAAAAATCCATGCAAGAATCGGGCCTCCCAGCATCCGATCTGATTGACATGAGCACATTGTTGGCGAAACTGCCAAAACCGTTTCGATGTCAGACCAGTTTGCGAATTCCAGCGGGGCTGAAGAACTCCGCCACGCACAAAATAGGCGAACCTGCTCCGACTGTGACTGTCAAAACAGAGAATATATGCCGACAAGGTGCAGTAACCAAGAACGGGACAACGTACAAGACGCTGAACAGCGAAGAACATGTGGAACCGAATCAGCGAGCGGAAGGACTCTCATTCAGTTCATCCACCCCATCGTTGTTCCGGAGACTACCGCAGAAAGTGGCTGATCAACAGTGGCTGTTGGTTACTTTTGACTATGTGGGCACGGAACCGGTCGACTTGACAGTGAAGGTAATGCATGAGACTTTAAATTCTTTTAGTCACTGCAAGCCAGTATAGCATACGGGATGGGGTGATCTTCTGAATTGCGAAAGTGAACGAATACTACTTCCTTGACAAAAGTAGTATCGTGACAGGATTTAAAGCATAAATGTCTACCAGAAACTCCAGTCTGAGTTCGTTAATTTCAGCGGTGTCTGTAAAGGTCTTATCCAAAGCTCATTCTCCCAAATCCGTCCAAGATTCTGGGGGATAATTGTGATCAATGCTTCCTTGGACACACAGATAATGTCAGTCTTTTTTGAGTCAGACCTTTCAGCTAAACAAACCACATTGCGCACACAGTCTGGTCTGTGCTCCCTGTCTTCACCATGTGAACAGCCTTAGTACTGATCAATCAGAAACCTCACATTGGTTGATCATATTCGTCAAGAAAAAAACGCTTAATGGACAGCTAGACGAGTTTCGGAACTACGATTTTTCTTACTCTGTAGGATAAAAACGGCTTTTGCCGTTTGCTTCGATATTTACGAGGACTGACATGACGTCACTTTTTCTGCCAAGACAACCCGCACTGTCTTCTGGGTCATATAGTGCACGAAAACTCTCAACTACTGGGGTCTTTGTGGTATGGTCGAAGTCTGGCGACCTTAGGGCAGTCAGCTATCTATTTAATCGGTACATTACATATTAACACGATAGAAGGATTACCTGGCCCGACTCATAGACCGTTGTGCGAGTGAAATGCAACGGAAAATCCGTTCCTGGAGAACTCTATCACTAATTTTCGGACATCGTAAATCAATAGTAGGCTAATCATAGTGATTCAGGGTTCGTAAACTCGCACCTGTTACGTTCTAACAGTTTATGACCTACTGCAAACGATTTTTCGGGCGATAATTCACTTGCATACACCATATTCTCCTCACAATCCAGGAGAACCAAGTGGTTCGCTGTCTGGATCCATTACCACCCCCTGAAAACATGCAAGACGTGTATGTCCCCGATCAATGGCTTCGGTGTGTCACGTGGTTTGGCAAAGAAGGGCAGATCCCCAGCACTTTTGTACGCCGTATCCTGGATTCGGAAGAACTAACAGGGCGTATGGCGAGCAGGCCACGCGTGGAAGCACTATTTGACTTCAATGCGGAAACCAGTGGAGACTTGTGCTTGAAAGTGAGTCACTTGGTGCAAATTTTAGCACACTCATGCTTACTTAGGAAGAATGGTCTTGCCGGATGTACAGGGACCCAACTTAGATAGTAGTATAGTAAAAATCGGCTGCCTGAATTGAAGCAGACGTGAGAATTTCGACGAACTGCAGTGAGAAAGCCTCTTTTCAATGACCAAACCTGTTCCGCAGTTGTGTTTCACATAACTCTTCTCAAAAGGTCCTATGCGTATTTCTGGAAATGACGTGAACCATTTCGAACAACCAGGTAGTGGGATGCCTTATTCCGAGTCTCAAAAGACGCCACAGTGAATTCAACCGATCTGATCATGGAATCATTCTCAGTTTTCATCACCTGGTCTGTGGGAATAGCTAAGGAATTCCCCGAATCGTTAGGTCGAAATTGCCGTTTCCACGCCTGCTTACTCGGTCGTTGAGCGCGACCAAGAAACTTAGTTCTGTATGCGAACTACACTCATTTGCAAACTAATTTGGTTTTTCGAGAGACTCACCTGGAACCCAGGTGATGATTCCAGGCAACTGAATGTGCTGCACCAGGCCGCCTCATGTCTCAATCGCTACGATATTCGAGATATTGCGATACATGTATATTTAGTAATGCACTAGTCATAAGGTTGCTGAAAATTCGTCGACACCCCACGACCGGTTTTGCCCTTCTTGGAGCTCATCAGATAGGCACAGTCCCCGAGTTTCCGTCAATCTTATGTTCTACTTGAAACCGTAAAATTCAAGGCACCGAAAGTAGATTGAGCCGGAGCT